ATTTCCTTAGTCAATACGACTGAATAAAGGGAAAACATCAGAATTATGTTTAGCTGTTTTGCTAACATGCATTCTTTTTCTCCCTCTGTCTTTAATCCTCATGTTTTCAATCCGCAGTAGAGATAGATGGCTTCAGGAGAATGGGATGGATCCTGTTTATTTCTCGTGCTTTGCCAGCAAAATAGAAATAACCTTGTAGTTGCAGAATTTCTATAACTTGTGGGGAAGAGAAGTCATTCTATCTAATAAGTTCTGTCTAATTCCAGGGGAAATCTGCAGGGCCTGCTATTTATCCCACTTGTGAACGGAGCAAGTTTGATGCAGCGTTCAGTAAACGTGGCCTCTACATTTTCAAAGGGAGTAAAGACTTTAGTTCCTATTCCTACAGGCTAGAGGGAAGGAATATGTTTTATGCCACCTTCTAAGGGAGAAACTCAGTGCTGTGCAAGGGATGTGCCTCGACTGAAAAATTGAATTGCCGCTGGTAATAGTTTGCTTTCCGTTCTTTGAAAAATTCCATCTTCCAGGCCTGCAATTATCTTTTATTTATAAAACCTCTCCTACAAGAGCACTTGTGGTAGTGAAAACTAGCAGGGAAATAATTTCCCATTAATTAAGCTCCTACATATCACCAGATTCTATTACCTGCATACTCACTCATCCATCGTATGTACTGCCACTGGCATCTCGTATGGTATGTTAAACCCACTCATAGATCATTCATTCCAACTGCATCAATAAAAGTCTTTGAATTGAATAGAGAGGCAGAATAACAACAGCAGAATTTCATCAGAGTCATGGTTTGCCAGACGATTCATCTGATAAACTGAGCTATGTGTTTTGGCATTGTTTAGTTTTCCGCAGGGACCAAAAGTTCTCCCAAGCTCTCGGCTGATGATTGCATGACTGATGCACCCCTTTTACAGGGGCAAGGGGGATGCCTTCATTTGACCAGGCTTTGGAGGAAAGAACATTCCTGCCTTCTGAGGGGACAGAGGACAAAGAAGGAGGAGAGGGACCCTGTGTACACAGTCTATGTGCCCATTTCAGCTGAGTGCCCTAACTATCGGCTGTTAGGCAGAGCCAAATCCGGCAGCCTGGCAGAGGTGAGGCTGAGCCCCTTTCCACACCTCCTCGCACAGAGATGCAGCTGGCAGCATGGACACACGGACCTTCTGACCTGTGGTCCTGGGGTAGTTGCTGGTACTTAGGCCCCCGTACACATGCATGCACACAGAATGAACTCCCTCACCCAGAGAAGAGATAGGAGGGAATTTGGTGAGAAGATAGGACTGTACTGATCGGGTATGGGGCATGGCCGGAGAAGCATAGTGACCAGCAATGTGCTTATGTGGCTGATGTTTTTGTCCTTTCATCCCATGTTTGTTCCTTCCCAAATCACCCACATCCCTCCCTTTACTTGCCTTTGTCCTCCCCTAATCGTCCCCTAACTCTTGTGCAATCCTGAAATGTTCTTCCCCTGCATTCCATTACGTGTGCTGTACCCCGAACCCATCTGCAAGGTGATCCTGAGAGCCGTCTTGTCGGCTTTCACGCCTGGACCATGGGGCAGATGCTCTCGAGGGCCAGCCTTTGCAGGAGACCTGTCAGGGTGTTTCTTCCTGGAGTCTGCCGTTTGGGTCCCCCACCTACCCCTGTGCTTCTGCGCTCTTTGGGACGTGTGGAGATGAGCCTTGGATGGACTGATGGATGGTTTTCTGTCTTTTAAAAATGAATGCTTGACCTCTTCTTGTGTCTTACTCAAAATGATCCCACCCTTGAGCATGTGCTGGCATGGTATTTTGCAGGCAAGTATGAATGAGCTTCACCTTCGCCATCAGCAGGTCCTGTACGTTTGGGGTCAGGACTTCACTAGGCATATTCACAACCACCAGTCGTCATATAACTTGCTCACACCTCCTTTCTGCTCAAGCAGAACAAAGTTGCATCTGTCCTGGGATAAATCTGGACAGTATCTCTAATTCTGGGGAATGGTTTCAGGCTACGATTCCTCATCTGACTCAAATGTCTCCTCACAGTGCCCAGAAAGCAAAGAAACTCAGCATTTTGTATGCTGCCTTCTGCCTTTCTGCTGTAGCAATTATGTATCTGAGCTACATGCTGGCTGTTGGAAATTCTGTTCTAAGCCATCTCACCTTGCCTGTGGTTTTTACAAGGCACTTTGGGGACAGACCTTGGACTGTGGATTCTGCCTTTGAGCTCAGAGGCTGGAAAGTCAGGTGTCATCTTGCTTAGCATCATAACCTGCAGGTATGCTGGTGGAGTCGACCCTGAACGTCTGTCTGAAGATCACAGGGAATTAATGATGAAATTGCATTAAATTATTCCTAGCATGCAGCTTTAAGCACTGAGCACTTCTCAGTTCCTGCCTATGTGGAATTTAGGAGAGTTGAGATTTCTTTTTTAAAGAGGAAATGTATTTGGTTATCTTTAATTGAGACTGTATTAGCTTCTAGTGATAGTACTGCTCTGTGATGTTACTTGTAAAATGATGGTTTTGGTAGCACGTGCATTTATGGTTAATACCCTTTTTGTTCTTGTGAAATCCTCAGGTTTTTTTAAATGCCGAGCCTGTAAACTGAGTAGAAAACTCTAAACGTAAAGCTGGTGAAATAATAATTGGCAATACATATGAATAGCATTCTTTGTGCTATCGAAGGGCCAGAGCAGAATCTATCTTGCTGTCAGTACAACTTCAACAGGAATTGTGTGGGTGGATCGGAGCACTTATCCTAGCCATTATGCAGCAATGGCATAAGTTAATGGAACAGATTGTCAGGGGGACTGTAGGAAGTAATGGCATAGGAAGGAAGATGTGATTTATATATGAAAGATAATACACTGCATATAATGAGGAAGTTTGAAAAATAATGTACGGAGGAGGCACACAGATAAAACTGTTAGCATCAACTCAGAAAATAATGCTTTATTTCTAGCTCCTTATTACTCTTGAATAAGCTCTAATAAGGCTGAAATCTTCCTGATTTTGATATTTAATTCAAGCTGAGTTACATTAAAAAAAAAAAAAAAGCAGTCGTGTTATTTCTGAAGGTGGCAAGAGGGGAAAAAGTACTGCTTGTAAACATGCTAAAAATAAAGTGATGTTCATGCTTGCTCACCCTCCTCTGTTTTGGAGCAAAACCTTTGGATCTGCCAGCATGTTGCCTTTGTAGGATAGATATGGCTTTTGTTACCTTTGAGGAAAGTCTGTCAAAAATTAAGAGTTTACAACAATAACACCCCCAAAGCAAAACCCAACCAACCAACCAAAAAACCCCAAACCCAAAACCTTACAATTTGCTCCTCCAACCCCTATAAGATGAGGGTGAGCTCCTGCGGGACATATTCAGAGTGACTCTGTGAGCTGCCCAGCCGGGATGTGGAAGGGGTGAGGGACAAGCCGGTAGGAGAGGTGGTGAAGTTCACAGCCTGCCCTCAGGAGCCTGGAGCTGGGTGGAGATGGCGGTGAGGAGTACTCCAAGGAGAGCTGGTGGGACGGAAGGGTCAGGAAGCTGAACAAGGTGAGTGGGGTGACAGGGGAGGTGCCCAACATTTCTCCAACATCAGAGACCCAGGAACTCTGAACAAGAAGAACTTCTTGAACTTCTGAACAAAAAAAGGAGGAGAAGGATGAGTAGCTTAAAGAGCAGGGAGTGCGGCTGGTGGTGTAGGTGGGGAGAAAAGGGGGCTAAGCCAGATTGAGAGGATTTAAGGCAGAGGAGAAGCGGTAGTAGAGCAAAAGTGGTATAAAGTCTCAAACTGAGGATAAGCAGAAGGGTCTGTGCCCACTCATCATACTCTCCTTTGTGGAAAGGAGCATGAGCCGAGGGTTGTCTTTGTCCAGGATCAATGTGGAGATGAAGCCCAAAAAAACCTCCCCAAAAACCCATAAGTGCTGAGTGGATAATGGAGCGCAACTCATTTTGTGTGGTTGGCGACAGATGCTTTGTGATGCTTCGCATTCATTTATTTTCTTCAGATATCAGTGATGGGTGTTCCAGTCTTTTAGCTTCCCAGAACAAAAATCCTGAGGAAAGAATCTGACCTGTGTAGCATGTTTGTGAATTGCTGCTCTACATTTGTAGCTTTTCAGTTTGGTGGATAAACAACAGTTGCAGCCAATGCCTCGTTCAGCTGCGTGCAGCACAATTACGATGGGATTGTTTTTTGGGACTCTTTGACATTATAGTTGTTGAGAGCTCAGTAGAAGAGCTGGGTTGATTGCACCAGAGCCACGTTTGCCTGGAGTGCTGTGTTTGCTGTGGTAGGATGATGTACCGGCATCGCGCTCTGCTATTCTCTCACATTGCTTAGCTAATAAGCCTTAACTCAGGCATGAAGGAAATAAATGGGATAAGTGGATAGCTGAGGTTGTGTGTCCACGTGTTTGGCCTCTTGCATTAGCGCTTATTGTCTAGTGCTTGGAATAAGCAAAATGCGGGTAAGTAGGTAAAAAGTCCATTTGAGAAATTGTTCCAAGAATAGTTACAGCAGGGCTGGGCAGCCCTTCTCGTCCTGGGAGCGAAGAGCTTTGTCTAGCTGAGAGCCGCACAGCGTGCACTGTCCGTGGAAAGCTGTGGAGAGACAGAGTTTGGGGTGGGTGCCAGCTGGGTGCTCCCAGCAGTCCCACCACTCTCCCCAGGGCTGGGGCCACATTGGTGATGTCGGTCTGAGTTGCCTCTTCGGGCTTATGTCTTACCAGGTGGGGTGCTTGGGTGGCCCCCATGCCAGCACAAGACCACGAGTTATTTACTAAACGATTTATAAATTGCCTTCTTATCCTTGAGATCCGCAATTCTGGGATGAAACATGAAGAACGCACGTTGCAGGCAAACACCCCTCTGTCTTATTTTCCTCTGTGGCTGTTAAGTACCAGAGTTTAAGGAACAGGCAAGTGTAAGCTTACGATCGGCTTGAAGTAAAATCAAAGAGTGACAAAAACAGCTAATTGAGCCCAGCATTTGAAGAGCTGGCTGCAAATGGCAGAATGGCACGTCGACCCAGCAGAACAAGGCTCCTACATCGGGTACCCAGCCGGCTCGCAGTTAGCTTTGGAACCCTCGGTACGCTGCTCTCGGAGCAGGCGTCACATCTTTGACGGGAAATATTACCGGCTTTGATGGAAGATGAGAAAGATGTTACACGTCCGCTTAGTTGTAACTTTAAATAAAGGAGTCGTATTTTAAATGCAAATGCCTTGCTTGTTTTTGAGTTGTAAGGAGCTGAACTGCTGTCTTAAGAATTGATTTGCCTTTTAAGTGTCATGCAGACCTATTTTTAGCATTGTTAATATGTGTTTCTCTCGTAACCGATTATACTCGCTACAAAGAGGAATCAAAATTTTCTGGAAGTGTATGTGCGGGTTGTGCTACACCGTATATACATATGAATAAGTGTCAGTCGTGGTGTCATCTGGGAGTTGGGGCTGCTTGGTGTCTGTGGTGAGACAGTGGTGGGTGGTTCACAACCTGGAAATGGCCCCCATCCCGTTCAAAACGTCATTTTGGAGCTCTTTCCACACGGCGTCTTATTATTTGTAGGTGCTAAGGATAAAAATAATGACAATTTCTGAATAAAATACAAACTTAGGGCAACGTACAGTCTGTCTGGGGTGCCCGGTTTGGGTCTAACCCAGGGTTTTACCGACACACGTTTGCGTGTTTAGTGTAGAAATGAAACCAGGCTCTTTCTGCTGAAGGAACGCAGCGTTCGTTGGGACCATGCCTGGCCACCCTGGCCTTAGCAGAAGGTAGCTCTCAGGACCTACCTGATTTTCTTGGGTCTGATTGCTGTTTCTCACACCACAGTTTTCACTAGTTTGCAGTAACGAACGGCAAACCTTTTGCAAATATTGATATGGCTATTCCCCCTTAACTCCTAGGAGAGGGAGAAAATAATCAACTTTCTGTTGCTGATACTTCAGCTTATTGTTTCCTGTACTGTAGCTGCTGACCCAAATGTGAACACACAGAGAACATATGGCGCGTTTTATTTGCCAGCTATAGAAAGATGGTTTTGGAGCACACGAGATGTCACATCTGTTTAAGTCACAAAATACTGTCATCTCCGTTGCACTGAATGGCTTCCTTTGTAGTAAATGCTGCGTTTCAGGATTCCTGTTAAATTGGGTCTATAAACTGTTTAAAATGCTCTTTATCTTATAGAGTTTCTCTTTTGTTTGCAGCAAGGGAAGCCATATGTCTTTGATAGAGTGTTACCTCCTAATACCACCCAGGAGCAAGTTTATAATGCCTGTGCCAAGCAGATTGTTAAAGGTAGGTGTTGTCTTTGTTTATTCCTGCTTGGGGGGAGGGAAAAAGATGTCTCCCTGTCCCCTCAAGCTATTTAAAGGCAGGATAATAAATGTTTAGATGTGTGTGTGGGAGTTTAGTAATTAGTAATTCCAAGCATTTCCTTTTCTAAGGACTTGTCTGGCGGGGGCGGGGGGGGAACCAACAAAAAAAAAAACCAAAACAAAACCAAAAAAACCTCCCAAAAAACCAAAAACCAACCCAAACAAACAAAAAAAGAAAAAGCTGAAGGAATTGCTTGTAGTTGTTCCTTACTTTCTCCTTGTGTGTGACACTTATTCCACACAAATATTTGCTTTTTGTGATGTATGATAAGCAACAAAAAGCACATTCTTCATGCAGCGTGAGGCTACTTGGTACAGGATGAGCACGGAGTAGCTGTGTCTTTGAATGGAAGGGTGGACCATTAAAGGAAAATATAGAAGGCACTGTTTTTGTAGCTGCTTTGCCTGCATATAGCTTGCACTTAAAAATGAAATGAGAACACTAGTGCCTGTTGGATAGCAACCTGTTTGTTTAAAACAAAACCTTCATAAACTGATGAAATTTCAAGATTTTAACTTGAGAATCAAACTTTTTGGGTGCATTTTAATTGCCTGCTGTACTTTCCCCTACCTCCCGAATCACCCTCAGACCTCCCGCTTGGTTCTGATGCTGCATAGTCCATCCATGATGGTATTACAACTGCTACAGCATCTCAGGGGTTACAAGTAGTACCCGGTCTAGTTGTGTGGTGTCCCTGTGCCCCCCAAGATTTGGTCATCAGTTTTTGTTTTCAAATCCAAGTATGTAGACTGTGGGAGTGGTGTCAGAGCTGTGCTTGTATAGCAATGCAAGGCTGCTTGCTGAACACTGTGGAATTTATGTAGCGTGAGAGATTTGGGGTTGCACTCAGAGGTGCAGCAGCTACTGAAGCAGTGTTGAAGGACTCACTAGCATTTCAGGCGTGGAGGTGGATCTGTGGAGAACTTGTGCGTCTGCCAGTGAGGAGAGGTCCCTGGTGTGCGCGGCCCTGCTGCGAAGCCTGCGTTCTGTTCTGGAGGAAATTAGTTGGCTCCCTTGGACAGCCTCGAGCAAACCAACATGTGTGTAGTCTAGATGATCAGGGGTGAGGACCAGAAGCTAAATTATTTGATCTTAGAGAGAGGAAATGAGTTGTAAGACTTCAGTTGCCTCTTCTCAGAGGGGAGTCTAATTATGGCAATTCTGACTTCAGACGGGTAAGCCTTTAATAAAAACTGGTGGGATTGGAGGCATAGAGCTTAGCAGTTACTAGTTCAGCTTGCTGACACACCGCTCAACGTTTGGAAGTTTGGGGAACTGTCTCAATACTACAGTGTGTGCTAACAGAAGCAGCACACCGCTATTTGTAGACTTGTGGAGGGTATTTATATCCCCTGTGGAAGTTGGTTTGCCCTGAAGATGGTGAGAGAAATAAAATCCTGTTTGAGAGCAATTTGGAAGACCGAAATCAGTGATTTAAGTCTTCTTCATTAGCTAAATAGAAAGGCAAATACTCTCCAAAGTCCTATTTGAAAATAGAGCTCAAACATACTTTTGCACGTATGTTAACTTGGACCTCCTAGATGACTTGAAAGGCGAGTTTGATGAGGAGGAGGGTGTAGAAAAAAGGAAAAGAGAAAAATGGGGAAAAAAGAGAGAAGGAGAGAAAGGGAAAGTGAGGAGGAGAGTGATGGGGAGGGAGGGGAGGAGAGGAGGAGGGTGTAGGACAGGGAGGGGGTCCTGGGAGGGAGAGCACAGCGTTACTGGAGTGATGTTCTTGAGCTCTGGGCTCACATTTCCTTACGTTTCATTTTCAGTTTAAAGCCTAACAAAGTGAAGAATGTGAAACGGACTGGGCTGTTTCTGATAGACTGGAACAATGTAATTTACTACATGGAAATACGAGCTGAGTGCATTACAACTTGGAGCACTATTTAAATCTTTGAGACTTTTTAAAATAGCTTTTCAAGGTTACCATTTGTTATCAGATTTCATTATACTCCCATGAAATGGCTGATGGTTTCATTGTGATTAATGTTATTACAGAAAATGCCAGCTGGCCTAGCAGTCTCTGAAACAATGGTTATAATAACCATGTTGACAATAAGGATGATCTAAATGAGTTTTTTTTCACTAAAGAAGAAATGGGATTAGGTTTAAGTAAACAGCTCAACGACTAAGTCAAAGTATTTCCCATTCCACACGTGAGAAACATGAGAAATGAGGAGTTTTTTAGAGGAGGAGAAGCAATCTGTGTGCTACAGTGATTTGCATCGGGGTGGGCGCCGGGATGGTGTTTGTTCAAGGTGCTCCCAAGGGCAGAGGTACCAGCAGGGGAAGTGTGTGGGGAATCATCACTGGTGCATATGACCACAGTTTAGGAACTTGTGTTTGCATTTTTTTTAATCAAACTGAGAAATATCACTGAATCTGAAAGGGAACAATAGCGTGTGATTGCCACCACTTAAGCTTTGTTTCCCATCGCGCTCTATCGCCAGAAAACAGCTTTATCTTCTCAGCCTACACAGATGGATGTCTGTATCTGGGTTTTGCATCCTTCCTACAATTACATCGAGGGAAGAATATTTATAATGGCCCAAGCTATTGCTGAGCACTGGAGCTGTGAGCACATTAGTGCACATGTGAACATCTGCACATTTGTGTGTCCTGTGAGGAGGAGGAAATTGCTTTAGTGATTTTTTTGGGCGGTGGGTTTGCTCTCACTGAATAGCTTATTGACTTTCTATTCTGCTTAGAAATATGGGCCTCAAATGCTGAGTCGCAGAACTAGAAAGTTTAGAGAAGGAAAAGGTAAGTATAGACCTAAAAATTTGATTGTAGGAATGAGGCTGAAAGGAATTCCGTAAAGCCATTTGGTCTTTCTTCTTGCCATTAAGACTCCTTTACGTGTCAGTGGTCCATGTGAAAGGTCTCAAGTCCACAGCTGCCCTTGGCCATTTGTTGCAGAGCTCTGCTGGGTGCTCCGGTGCTGCTGGAGAGACTGTTCTGGGTCCCTAACCTGAGCCAGTCTGTGTTGTAGCCCCGACAGAAGGGCTGAGGTTTTAGACCGTTGCTACTTCTCCTGACCATCCTCGTCAGGAGGAAGGCCATCTGGCAGCAGTTGAGTGGCCGAGTCGAGTAGCTGGCTTTTGCGGGGAGGGTAAATCAAACTGAAAATCATTGTAGAGAGGGTTGGACCAAGAATTAAGACAAGCACTTGGTCTTGCTTTGTTTGCTATGAGTTCCGCAAAAGTCCCAACTGACCTTTGTTTGGTGGCTTTGTTCATCTGTTTTTTCCCCCCTTTCCTTTCCTCTTAAGTTTTGTGCAGACTGTTTCTGTCGGCAACTGTCTCTTCTCTTTATCCAGTTGACAGATGGTATATTAACTATCTTAAGGTGGAAAGCCGTCCAATAAAAATAACCTCTTCTACCACAGAGACTGACTTTTTTTAATTGCAGCTGGTACAAAGGACTTTTATAAAATAAGGTATTTTTTGCTGATTGGGAAGATAAATTACTTACCTATGCTTCCTCAAGCAGTGATGCATCTTAGTATACATTGATGCACATTCTGAGCAATTTTCTTATGTAACAGTTGATTAATCAGATTATTTTCCCCCTAGACTGTGTACCAGCATAGAGCTGACATTGTACCTTGCATTCACCTGGAGATAATATGCCTTTTTTTTTTAATTCAACCCATTTTTAAAAAATGTTAACCAAGTTTGGCAAAAACTGAAAATAGTAGTGGTGAACTCTTAGATTGTGCTTAACGGTCCTGGGTGGAATTTAAAAGGTATTTGGATGCTAGGTGATCTTTTAAAAACAAAAAGGGGTTGCACATGTTTGCTTGAGGATTTCTGACTTCCTCCTTGGACAACTATTTCTATTTTTTGATACCTAAACACCTTTGAAATTCTGGTTCTGTGCACCTTCCAAACATGAGCTGGCTTTCATCTAACGAGAAAAACAAACCTTCTTCCTTTTCCAACTTCTAGCTAGATTTTAGTTGAGAATAAAAAAGTCCAAACACAAATATTTTCTTTCCTTGCTGGCTAACAAAGATGGAACTATCTACACAATAGATGTGGAGTACTTACACCTGATTCTAGTCTCAAAAGTTAAATATGACTGCCTCCCTGTTGTGCTTAGATATGTGAGTGCGTTTAAGAAGAAAGTAAGCTTTTCATTTGAAATATTTCAAATACAGTTGCATTAAACATTGCCTTTCCTACAGGCTATTTTGAAATGTAGTATTAATCTGATTAACTTTCTAAAAGGCAGTAGTATTTTTGTATTAAAAACCAAGACATAACTCCTGTCTCCTGTGAGCTGCTGCCACCGCTCTTACGCTGCAGATCCCTGGCTGCACCTCCGTCTCTCCATCCTTGGTCCTGCACTCCGTGTTTCTGCTGGTTCACCCAAGGTAGACCTGTTGGTGCAAGCTGAGTGGAGCTCCTAGCAGAATTCTACTTCAGCGTCTTCCAAAGATAGTATACATTGGGGTTTCATTGGAAAAAAATGCTGTTAAAATTGCACCCGTGAAAGTGGAAGTGAATGGGCTTTGAACGTGGTGCAGGCGGATGGCCGGCAGCGAGGCTCGCCAGCTGTCTTCTCCTGCCTTCCAGCTGCTGTTGTTGTAGCCCTTCCCTTCCACTCAAGTTCATTCTGTGTTGAACTGAAAATCAGTGAGATGTTCTCTTCAGAAAAGAACTGGCAAATGGTGTTTTGAAATACCAATAACAGGAACTTTGGCCCTGTTTTGAAACCTGTTGGTGAAATTCTGGGTCGAAGGCATGAACTCAGGATGGCACTGCATCTATGGCTGGACGTCTGGTTTTTTATCTATGCAATTATTATTTCTAATTCCTTATTTTAAACTTTGTTTCCCTAAAGCAAGAATAAGCAGTGTCTCTGTGTTTATAAACAGGTGAGGATGCTAAATTCATACAAAATATTAATAACCGGAATGACAGTAATTATAGTCTGTAACTTTGTCATCTTCCTAGATTTCAAGATTTGAGAAATTTACCCAACACCAGCCTGTGGAGATCTGTACAACCTCTGGCATGTCTGTCCTCTTCAGCTCCCCAAAACAGTTCTGCCACAACTTAAACAGTTACATTCTGTGTTTAATTAGAATGTATTTTTTTTAAATGGCTTCATTCCAATTTCATCCTTATTCAGTATTACTGTATAGGAAATGTGTGTTTAGGGTCTATGTCGTGGTTGTCTCAGAAAAAGATCACTTTTCCTTTCCGTTCTTTTTATCCATTTCTTTTCTTTGTAATCATCTTTCTGTGGTTTTTATCTCAATTTTTTTCACACTTGTTTCTTCATTCTTTTTGTATCTTTCTAACATACCTTATTTAATTCTCCTTCCTAGATGGACCATCTACATACATACATATGGAGATACAAATAAGGAGATTATATGTGTGTGTGTTTATGTATATATAACAATATGGTGTTATATGCAATAGTATAAAATACAGACATGTATATATCTTTACTATAAATATGTGTATATACACACACATATATCTTTTTTTTTCTCCCGGTGGCCTGGTAAGACTTCAAGTTCACTTGCCTTGGAGCAAGTCCAACCCAGTAATCCTTTCAACGGCAATGAATGGATGTGGGACTGTGCACGAGAACCAGCTGCCTTCCCACCCTCCGGATTTCTGAAAGCTACTATAGACATAAACCAGTGCAAAGTCAAAAATGGATATTTTTATGTCTTAATGCAATATAAAATTATTCATTCTTCCTTGAGAGATGTATATTTTCAATAAAGCAAATTCCTGTTCAGCTGACTTTCTTCTTGCTTTGCTCTTCTGCTTTGGAAATTAATGAGGCCGTGAACTGTTGAGGGTGTTCTAGTAGTTGAAAAAGTATGATTTTGTTTAATTTTCTCTATGTTACATGATGGTTTAGAATGCAGGTAATTAAGTTTTCTCTTTTCCGTGTTGCACAGGTATATTGGATAATATCTAGTGTCCAGAGATTTTTTTAAGAAAGATGTCAGTAATTCTGTAATTCTCTTAGATTTTGTTACGCTTTTTTTTTGGCCTAAAGATAGCTAGTTATGTCGTATTTTTCCCATTCTTCATTGCACAAACTAATTTCTAATTGAGCTTCAGCATTGTAGAAGACTTATGAAACAGTGGTAACTCATAATGACATCTTAAACCCGGATTTTAATTGTTTTGCTTCTTCTTGCAGATGTTCTTGAAGGCTACAATGGCACAATCTTTGCTTATGGACAGACGTCATCAGGCAAAACGCATACTATGGAGGTACAGTGGCAAAATTAAATCAGTTTGGTAGCAGCAGTTGAATTATATGTACCAATTACCTGAACAAGCCAGCTATCTGGAGCACTCAGCTGTGAGTGACATATAAAAAGAGATCTGGGTATGTTTAGCTTCTACTGCCTTTTAAGCTGTAGTATTTCTTTCAATATGGAGGTTTTTTTGAGATGTCTATAGATATCTAGCTAAACTAACAAATGGTGAGTGAAAAATATCAAGTATAGCTTCTCCATATTTGTCAAAACAGTTTAGGTATATGTATATTTTAAAGCATTTGGGTGAGATTTGTTAATCCACAAATGAAATCAGTACTAAGGGTCTGTAGAGTTCCCTTGCATGCAGGATTATGAAAATTCATGCCTGAGTTACTGGTTTTCTCATTTGCCCTCCCCTTCTGGGAATACCACTCTCGTGTGCTGCAGCACAGATGGATGAATTTGAGGATTGTTGCTTCGGAGGAGAAGAATACCAAATGATACCAGATTCCAGTGGCTGAGGTCCTAAATCTGTTATCTTTCTGCTACATGAAGTGTGACGGAGTGTAGTTTTTTTCCTGTGTTGTGGTTGTTTGTTTTTTTTTAACTGTTCAGTTAGAAGACATTTAGATATTTTAGTCCCTTGCTAAAAAAAGGAGGATAATTCAAGCATTTAATCCTCGCATGTGATTGTTCCATCACAACGCTGTACAAGCTGGGTCTTTCTTGGAGCATTTCAGTTCAACTGTGACCTGTAAACAGGAGGACTGCAGCAAAGTTTTGCTAAACGAAAGGAAAAAAATGAGCTTTCATTTGTTTAACAGCATCAGATGGTTTTGCTACACGATTAACACGGGTGACCTACCTAAGCTGAAGGTTAAAGGAGAAGGAAAGCAATATTCTCTCGAGCCAACAGGCCCTGGTGAAATTGCTGTTCGATTGCCACAGTTGCTCCTTTCCTGGAGGATGCAATAACTGATGCCTCATGTCTAATTAAGCCTGTTCTTGCGAGGATGGGGGAAATCACTAGCTCAGCCCTCACAGATGGCACAATGGCTGAGTAATCCGCCAGCTCTGAATGTAATTAAATCAAAATGTCTGCAGGGCTTGAGCTGGTGCTTCCACATGGCAAGGGGAAAGATCTCTTAAAGCCAATTTATATTCAGAATTACAAGCTGCGATAAAGAAAATGACTGTAGAAAAATGGCTATTTTACTTCTTTAATAAAGAAAAAGCTGTCATTTTAAAGTGGAATCAAGTCTATATTCAGTTTTAATCCCTCTTTTAACCTAACGTCCTCTTGTAAAGTTGTTACAGTATGCTGTGGAAGAAAAAAGTCGTCTGAAGTTGAAGAAATAGTAAATCCTCTTGGTAAAGCTGTTATGGAGGATTTTCTGTAAAATGTGAAATGCTTCACAGTGTTAGTGTTAAGCTTAAGCAGGTCATGGTAGTATAACATAGCCAGGACAGGCTTTCTGACATACATAGGTCTTTCCTCTGTGCTAGATAAAACATTTGCCAACCTGTATAGCAGGATATAACCAAAACCTTCTCAAAAATTACGTATTTTTGCCCAAAAGATTATACTTTGACTTTGTAGTAGAGTTTTCAATACTAGGTCCCTATAGATTGTAGTTATTATGTCAACATCTGAAATAAAACAGCGCTGTCTCAAATGTTACACTTCACTAGCTACAGCCTGTCTGCTATGTTTAAATGTGGAAATTAATGCTCTTATTAAAATGAGAGGCTTTAATGAGCAGAGAACTCTGTCCTGGTGCTTAAGGGGGCGTTCACTAAACTGCAATGTCAGCAGGGCAGCAGCAGCACATTTCTCCAAACTCTGCCTGAGGTCACAGCTAAATCCATGAGAGCCGTTCGGGTTTTTTGATTCCAGCTTTCCAGTTTACCTTTACCTTTCTCTGCCCTTCCAGTTTATGGTCTCCATAAATTATAGCGGGACCTGTTTCAATCATCTCTTGTTTTAATAAAAATCCATTGATAATAAAGTAAAAGTGATACGGGTTTTTTTTCCAATGCATCAGAGAATGCTGGTGTTACAGCTTTTTGAAGTTCTTAACTCTTTCTTTGCAAAGCAGTGAATGTGATCTTGCTTCACTGAGGTTTCTACTGTCTTAAATAGTGACAAAGCCCAAGAAATTGTAGATGCAGTGATTGAGTTACATGCGCACTTAATCGTATTTTACAGATTGATTTCTCTTCTGAGCTAAAGAAAGCTGTATAAGGGAAAGCATAATTATTACAGGGCTTGTTGAGGCTAGGAGAATGTTTAATTAAATACTTTTATAAGTTCTCACTTACCCAGAGCCCAAGCAATTATTAGAGGAAAGGTTTGCCTGATGCAGTGGTTCCAAAACGGATGCACTGCTGTGCAGACAGAAGTCTCTGCAACAAAACTTTGAATTCAGACTGTCCTTGGGCTGAGCCAACAACCCAGCTCGATCAAAGCCTCTGTAGAAAAGGGTTCTGTAGCTGCCTTTGCCTCTGCTGCCTTAGGAATCGTGCATCTTGCAGCACTTCACAGCATGGATGCCTTTGGTTGCATTTGTGGGTGTTGAAATATCAGCAAATCTCTGTTTATCCTACTTCAGGAAAAACTCATTTCCCTTCTTTGGGAAGTCTGTCTCCATGCGGTAATGCAGGGTAGTCGGGTGGTTTCAGTGAGCTTTTCAAGGACTTCTTCAGGGAGAAGGGATGGATAGTGTGGAAATTGTATTGCAGCCTCTGCTCAAATAACAGGGCTGTGTGATGGAAGCGGGTGCTCTGCTGGCAAGGTGCTGGGGTTTGGCTGAAGCCTGCGGTTGTGCGTACGAGTTTGCCCCTTCACCGGGGACTTAGTTTATTTAATCACCCTCTTTTTCATTCTCGTAGTCTGAAATGAAATGGTGTATCATACAACAAGGACGTTTCAGTTTTTGGGAAGCTTGATAGGATGTTGGATATGGTATAGCATTTAACTGCTTCTGCTACAGAAGATAACATTATTTGTGAAATAGAAATAAAATATTCACAGTTTAGATACAGCTGAGTGCTGCTATATAGGAAGGCAGTCAGCAGTGTGTGCCCAGGTGGCCAAGAAGGCCAACAGCGTCCTGGCCTGTACCAGCACTGGTGTGGCCAGCAGGAGCCGGGCAGGGATCGTGCCCCTGGACTCGGCACTGGTGGCACTGGCACCTCGAATCCTGTGTTCAGTGTTGGGCCCCTCACTCCAAGAAGGACGTTGAGGTGCTGGAGCGTGTCCAGAGAAGGGCAACGGAGCTGGGGAGGGGTCTGGAGCACAAGTCTGATGAGGAGCGGCTGAGGGAACTGGGGGGGTTCAGTCTGGAGAAGAGGAGGCGGACGGGAGCCCTCATGGCTCTCTACAGCTACCTGAAAGGGGGTTGTGGTGAGGGGGGGGTTGGTCTCTTCTCCCAAGGAACCAGCGACAGGCTGAGAGGAAATGGCCTCAAGTTGCACCAGGGGAGGTTTAGATTGGATATTAGGAAAAATGTCTTTACGGAGAGAGTGGTCAAGCATCGGCACAGGCTGCCCAGGGAGGGGGTGGAGTCACCATCACTGGAATTGTTCAAAAAATGTGTGGATGTGGCACTTGGGGACATGGTTTAGTGGGCATGGGGGTGTTGGGTTGATGGTTGGACTTGATGATCTTGAAGGTCCTTTCCAACCTTAGTGATTCTGTGATTTATCTATATTCCCCTTCCCCTTTTTTTTCCTCCCAAGTTGTGTAATTCAAGGGCAGAAACCTAATAACTGCTTTAAATACAGGCTTTGAGATAGAATGAGAGATGATGTCAGTACTTCATGTTGAATTTCCTTCATGCTAGGTTGATGCTTAGAAGTTGACTGTCACTTCACCACCTTTAGCATAAAGGAAGCGACGTCTAGAAAGACTATCTTTACTCAGCCTTTATTAGTATATTTAACTTGGAAAACAGGTCAATGTGACACACTAGTCATTCACAAACATGCATAATATTGAGAAACACATATACCTGTGTATGATTTTCTTCATATTTTGCTAAAAATATCGGTGTTTAATAATTTTTAGCAATTACAGATCAAATTTGACTTCCTATGATTTAGAATTGTATGGCTACCCACTATATTTAAAAAAAAAATAATAAAAATTCCCTACCACTATTTGGAGTAAGATGCTTTGTTGTGGTGATATCGGCAGCATTACTTGGACAAAAATTTATTCCAAAGGTGTATTAGAGTTTTTAGAGGGTATGTTCTGATGAACTGACTTGTTATTGCATATTTATGCAGTTTCATAAAATATGTGGAAATAGTAATGCAGTGTACGCTGTAGTCAGAAAAGATTTTTGTTTCGAGTTTATATTTCTATTCAATTTTCAAGTGGTGTTAGCTTTCGTGTACATGCCCAGCTTTGTCAGAAAGTGCAATGCAACTAAAAGGAGCCGTGCAGCCAGGGAAATTGTTGTTTTTATTTAATATTCAATTCTGGAAAGAATAGAGGAAGGTAGTCTTGCAAATTAACATAGAGAACGGGAGTGTTTGTAAGGCACAGTTCTCTGGCAATAGTCCCAGCAAGCTCAAATCAGAATATATTACTCTAATCCCCAAATCCCCACAACCCAGATTACCCTTTAGCTTTCTAGCATAGTGGTGAAAGAGAAACAAAATGCTTTAATACTTCTTGCTTCTGACATGTTTCCAAATATCTGATTTAACTGAGAGAACCGGGCTGCAATTTGTACATTTGTGTTTATTCCTCCGTCTTCCATCGGAGAGTGGCAGTGTAAATAGCGGCAGGACAGCACGCTGGGCAAACGGCAGGAGCTGACAAAACAAATAGGTGCTCCGTCGGGTGAGGAGTGCTCCCATGTCGAGTCGTTCTGCCACCTTTCTGTGCACCTACATCAAGCAAATCCCGCCCTGAGCAGCAGGCACATTCCCAGGGATCTGCTGGAGGAAGGTGTGTTTGGACAAGGCTTTCTCCTCGTGTGCCTGAGCAAGGCTTTCCAAGTTACGGTTTGGTTTTGTGTCTGTAGGGGAAACTGCACGACCCTCAGCTCATGGGAATCATTCCAAGAATTGCACATGACATCTTTGATCACATCTATTCCATGGATGAAAACCTGGAGTTTCATATAAAGGTAAATGCGGAATGACGTGTTACGTAATGGATGGAAGAAAGTTGACTTGGATGGGAGTCTGTGTTCATGCTACACCATTGCGCTGCAGAATTTTTACTTTCTCCCTTTTATAACTCAAAAAACCATTACATTACTGAGGATATTTACTAGAAATACTCTAATACAGTTATGAGCCTTTGATGGAAATTTTTCTTGAGTGTGTTTTCAGCTCAGGTTTGCTAGGCTGTTGGTTGCCTTGTCGCTCACCACAGTTGGTGGGCTTAGCCAACATGGTAAGAGAACATTTATTTCACTGCAGCCTCTCCAAAGGCTGTACCCCAGCCCCACTAGTTACGACCATAAATACCATTGATCTGTGTGACATTTGTGAGAATACTGACATGTTGTTCCTATCTTAAAGATATAAAGAGTCCTTCATAATAAGTAGGTTTGAAATGGTGGAAAGATGGCTTTGGGCAATTTTCGGAAAAGTGTTTAGAAGTAATTTTTACCTTAAAAGCTTATTTATGGGTTCTTTGAGATGGTGGTCTAAGTTTCGATTTGAACAGCTACTATGTTTTTCTGTGTCCCGATCTTGATTCCAACCATACGATTTCTCAAAGTTTTTGAGTGACCTTTAATTCCTGCTAAACCTGGGGGGCTCTCAGCCATGGGGGGGCATTGGTCCGTCTGGCAGAGTTGGGTTAGGCTACGGCTTGCTTCCAAGCAGACATCAGTAAAATTACGCAGTGAGTTGCAGGAAAAATGAGTACTCCACTGTCATCCCTCCCCCAAAACACACAAATATACTAGATGGCTTCAGTAAAGTTAAGTAGCTGAGCACTGATAGTGTGAAAACACCATCCCTTCTCCTGCTGTGACCAAGTGATGCTCTCCGAGACAGAGCTCTCCTCTTCTGACCCTCTCGTGCCTGAAAGTTAGAGATGAGTGACTTTTTAGTGCTGCTTGCATTAAAGCCCTTGAAGCACTTCTGGGAATATATATGTGTGTGTGTGTGTGTATATATATATTTTAATCATCTAGCAGAGTAACTCTGAACCAGCTACTGATCTTTTGGAAGGTCATTTTGTATTGAGAACCTTCTTAGCAGTGCCTGTTTGGGGGTGAGCTCATGAAGTACAGACGGAAGCAGCAGCCTTATGAAATACAAATAAACCATCTAAGTATTTTTATAGACCTTAGATTGTAAAATACTGAGCTCCTTAAGAAGAGATGCCTCCAAATTTTCATAGAAATGGCTTCCATAGGAGTGACACTGATTTAATCTCACCAGCTGTACAGCTCTCCTGTGGCTATTGCTATTGTACATGATAGCACTTGGATGCCAACAGATGGGGACCCCCTTGCACAAGACGTAGTAAATTCCTGTCCTGGCAGAAGAATATCACTTTATAAATCATGTTCTGCCAGCACTGGTTTCCTGTCATAGTTGATGTGTATGAATATCTTAACGGAAAAGCGCCCAAATAGCAATGAATGAGTGATTATACAAGGAGCTGTCTTTGAGAGAAATGCATGTTCTGTCATTGGGAGCAAGGATTTAAGCACACTGTCACACCCTTTTAGTAACTGACCCAATGTTGAAAATGACTTCCCCCCGCCTTTAATACATACCCGTTTAGAACAGGGAGGGGAACTCGGTATCTCCTGTGTGTGTTGGTCCTCAGCAGTGTGTTAACAGGATAATATAAAGCACATGAGTTAAGTCTGGATGAACCGGACTGTTGAAATGAGCTGGTCCAGAGGATGGCTTTAAATGGGGCAAATGCAAATGAAAATGCACAAAAGCAAAATATATCTATATTCAATAGCAGTTGTCACATAGGAAGATTAACTCATCAGTATAAAAACCCAGACATAATTTATTTTTCACATGAGAGAAAATGATACTTTACTAAATAGAGTTTACTGATATCCAGAATTTAGCCATCTAGTATTCTAGCTAAGTAATCCCTGGATAAAGTTTATTTAGGGTATGGTTAGGCACCACGCCCCTAATACATTTCTGTTTGCTTCTGTGAGTTGAATACCCTTTTATTAAGAGAGTCATTCATACATTCTCCCTCTCAATTTTTTTTCTTTTGTAGGACAATTGTCTCTCTCTGTTACAGAAAAGCTCATTTTCAGTTTCTTCTTTGTGACTTGATTCAAGACAGAACACTTACATATGCTTCATTTAAAAGTTTAATATATATTGCTTAGGCTTATGTAACTTGTATGTTAAACCACTGAAGATGCTTGTCTGCTTTTGTGCTGGAGTCAAACGTGACCCTTCTTGTGATGCAGCTGTACTGATATGATAGTGGCTGAATTGATTTGATTCTGTTCAATATTGTTGTCAATTTTGCCTATGTAAAAAAAAAAAAACAGATGAAGATAAGATTGTCTGAAGGTTTTTTTTTGGTATACTTTCCTGATGAATCATTGATAAATGGAGGAAGACCAATGACTTGTAGATCATTCAAAATACAAGTATGTTCACATGAAAGATGTGATTCAAACTATGTGGGAGGTGGGTTTTATGTTTAGTTGGTGATTTTTATTTTGACAGATCTGGAAATAGAGGCATAGAGATTTTTAAATAGCCAACGTTTAAATCTGTAATGTTTATGATTACTTAATTAGGTTTCCTACTTTGAAATATATTTGGACAAAATAAGGGACCTACTTGATGGTAAGTTCTGCATTTCTTATGTGACTGAGTGTTTTTTGGCTTGGTTTAGTGCTTTGAATCAACGCTTAAGTGGAAACAGTTACTTTCTTTGAGAGCGCTTTAAATTTAAGCTGTGTGACTTGGTTTGTGAAAGAGAATTTTGCGTTTTAAGTCATCTAATCGCTGGCTCTTGTGCACCTACCTCTACAGTGCTACATAGCTTGATTGTAAATCACTGAGTACAGAGAATTTTACAGACTTCAAGGCAAGTCTGAGCCTCATTGTCAATGTGTATTCTTAAAGTAAAACTGTAATTTAAAAATGTATGTAGTGTTCGGTTGAGTTGTGGGGTTTTCTTGTTAAATTTAGAATACGCTCGGTTCAACTCATTCCTTGCTTTTCTTCTGTTGGGTAGTTTGTTGGGAGTGATCTCTCTTTCACAACATGTGTCTCTGCGTATGCATGCTGTATGGTAACTGATGTGTGAACTGTGTGTGTTGAATCAGTCTGAAGGCAGAAAAATGTACGCTAATGGTAACACAAAACCAGGAACAAGTATTTGAGCTTTTTTAAATTCCAGTGAGTTCTTCTGTCTTCCTGGAAATCCTTGCTGCTTTGACCAAAAACAATTTGGTCTCTGATTATTTTATTAATCCAAGCAATAAACAAAAGCTTTTCTGCCATAAAGTTAACTTTAAAGAAGCAGGTACAAGATTGACAGAACAAGAAACAAGTTTTATGTAACAGAAATATTGGTAGTTCATAAGGAGTGGGAAGTGACTACAGTTCTCATTTACAAATTTAATACATTCACAGTATTTGTCTGTCATGCTGATTATTGACACAGTATTACCTGTGGAAAATTCCTAATGATCTCCATCTTTTTTTTTCTAGTGTCAAAGACAAACCTCGCTGTACATGAAGATAAAAACAGAGTCCCATATGTTAAGGTACAAGGAACATCTTTCATTCTTTCTCACATATGCATTTATTTACACATTTTCATTCGTATCTCAGTGCATTTGCTGAATTGATTCAACTCATGTTCGGAGTCTTGAATGTTCAAGTAGTATTGGTCCCTGGATTTAAACAGTTTCCTGAAATATTAATAAGCTTGAATCACATTTGCTTTATTTTATTGACTTTAAACATTTACATTTTGTTAATACGGTGTTAAATATTAAGTATTCATATTCCCAGTTCATGTCAGATATGAAAGAGAACATCTTGAAGAATTTTGTTCTTTAATGTTTTGTTGAATAGATGCTGTAATGTCGCAATATTTTAAAACAGATTTGTTGTGTGAGGAATTTTTTATGACTTCCTGTACCTTCACTTAAATGTAATAAACTTGTTATGAACGTATGTGAGCCTTAATAATGTACATAATGTACATAATTAATAATGTAATATTATTCTGTTTATTCTCATCCTGGGGAGGCCAAAATAAAATTGATAAAATAATTCCTTCAGTAATACTGCGTTAAGGCAGAGAACAAGGACTGTGCGTCTTGTCTGGCAGTTTGAGAGAGAAAAACGCTAATTTGGGTATGTAATCTAACCCAAATTAGTAACAGGAATATATGACGTATCATTCCATGTGTTCTACGTATAGAAACTCTTTTCTGCTGCGTGTTTGATTTGACTGAGTCTTTTCTTGTGAAAGAAAATTGTCTCTCACGTTATCCTGTGGACGACTCCTGACAGTCATACAAAGGCATGTTGTGGTCCATTGCCTCGCTCGTGATCATGTTGGATGTTGATGGTTCTGCTAATTATTTTGTTCATTGGTGCTAAATGTTCTTCCTGATGGCATTTGGGGTACTAGGACACTTCCTAAACTTTTCTGTTTTCAACTTGCATATTTCTAGGGTTGTACAGAAAGATTTGTATCTAGTCCTGAAGAAGTTTTGGATGTCATTGATGAAGGGAAAGCTAACCGTCATGTAGCCGTTACAAGTAAGTATTCTGTGGAAGTTTTTCTGGCTATAAAGTGTGGGTGGCTTTGTAGGGATGTATTGATTGTATTGATTCTTCACGTTCATAAAGTACTTTGAGTTACTTATGTGAGCGATCTAATGATGCACAAACTATAATGCTCTAAAATGAATAGTGTACTTTTTTTTACTGCTTCACTGCATTTATTGACTTTCAGCTTTGAGAACTCCTGTATTTAATATATGGCATTCTATACTATTGCTATATAACATGTCAAAATACGTATTGTTACACATAGTATAGATATTTTGAAATAATGTATAACTGAAATTATGTACATACTTTCTTCTTTGTGCTACAAGTCAAGAACTCGGAGCACTTCACAGGTCAAACGGCAGGCAAAGACTGCAGAGCAGTTACCAGACTCTGCCTCTTTCTCTTTTGCAAGTTATCCCAGTGAAGCAGTGACTTGGATTGAGTTCTAATGATGCCAAAGCAAACAAATCTTCCTGAATTAAAAAACATAATAATCGCTTCAGCCTGTGCCAAATTTGTTGACATGGTGTTGCATGCAGCCTAGTAGCATTACGGTGATAAAAAAGGGCAGATGTCTTTGGCTGGTTTCCCAATTTGTACTGTAAGATGTCTTTGATGCAAGCAGTGGGCTTGGCAGAACCTCAGCTTATAACTGAAGTCTTGGTGGTGGGGTGGGTTTTTGTGTATAGGAGGGTCGGGGTTTTTTGTTTTGTTTGTTTGTATGATTGTTTTTTTTAAATTTTATTTTATGTTTTATGATCCACTGCGTAACTTCTTTTTTCTTCCATGTCTCTACCTTCTTGTTTTGGTAAATACTACTTTAGCTTTCCCATGCCTTTCTCATCATACTAATAGAAATGTATTCTCTTTTTTCTGAGTAACATTTTCTCCCGTTTTTTCTGCTATTCTCTGTAACAAAACATATCCAAATACACCTTTTGCTGTGACACTACCTGTTGCTTTTGGTGCACACAGAAAAGTTCTGATCAGAGTTCATAGAATGAATTTTACTTAGCCTGAAATGGCGAGGAGCAAATTTGGAAGTGTTACTGAAAAAAGCCTTGAGTTTGGAGATGGAGGAGAAAAAGGGAGTTCAGATAAATATAAATATTTCTGTAATTTTAATGGGAAAAGGTGGTAGTGGATTTTAAAGTAACTGAGAAAACAGAGGAGACAGTGGTTTACTGATTCTTAATGTTGTCTTTTTGCTACTTTATGAAACTTCAAGCATGACATGGTTACAGTCGCACTTAGAATAAGTGGAAGCTGAAACTGTAGCTGCCTGTGTTTTACCTGCTGCCTGGGAGAAGGAGGATTTTTAATTACATGAGCAATAAAAATCACTCTGAAATTTTAATTTAAAAAGTATGCTTTTGATGAAAACTTTTGCTAAAAAGTTGTGAGATCTCCTCACACAATTGCACTGAGACCTGCTGAA